AATGACCCCATTGCCTTCAACCTTATTTTTCTCTCCTCCAAAATAGAAGTATGGACAGGTCCTAAACTCATTGGGCTGCTCTGAGCAGTGTGGCTCAATGTGAAGGCAGTGAGGCATGCTGGCATAGGGGACTCTGTAGCCGCTTTGTTGTGTTTCAGTTTGCAGTCTGCCCTGTCTGAGATCTGTGCCTTTGGACAAGTTGTTCAACTTCTCTGTGCTTCTCTTGTCTCATCTGTAAAATAGTAGTCTCTACTTGGGGAGGTTTTGAGAAGTTCTTCGCTTTGAATTCACAAGGACCGGGATACTGAGCCACCTGTGTGTTTTGAAAGCACTACTTCTGCATCGTCCTGGAACCCTCTTCCCACTTTCCCCTCCAGCAGATCTCGTCTGAGCTACAGCTTTTCTTTACTGTAACCACATGGTGCTTCTTGAATGCTGAATATGCATGGTATGAATAAGTGTACAGCAAGTATCCACAGCAACTAATTAGAAACGAAACATTGGCAATCTTCTTATAATTCCTGTGTTTTCTCTGCTAGCACTTCAGAACAGGCCTAGTGCTTTTGTTGATTTTTGTATTTAATTTTAAGCCATCCTAAATGAAATACTAGTGTCTGAAGATTCCATGACAGAACCCTTAACCCTCTAGGGACCTCTCTGGGACCCAGAGCTGTCCATTCCCGTCCCTGAAATGACTGATATGAAAAGAGCAGCAGATTCTGCTTTGTCCAGTTGAACTCAGGAGCCTTTAGTCAAGAACACAAAAGCTGGGAAAAATGTGGAGGGTGTGGGGAATGATTTCAAGAGCCCAAGAAACAAAAGTTGAGCATTGGGGCCCTTGAATAATTAAGCAAGATGGTAGATTAGGTCTGGAAAACCAGAAGGCTCCAGAGAGAGTCAAGAGTTGCTTTGAATTATAAAGAACTTTTCTTATCAGCTACAAGTTTTTCATCAACTCCCCAAAAAACTCCAGGCAGCCTGATATCCAGGCTCCTCCTTTCCTAGATATTTGAGGCTGCATTTTTATCACAAGGCTAGCCTGATTATTGCTACCATAATATATCCTCAGTGCCCATGGCTTGCACATCAGTTTCTAGAATTTTCTATATTTGAAAAATTTTTTTCTAGAAAAATCCATAAAATACTACTTTATTTTCATTTTTCTTTTTTTTTTTGCCATTGGAAAAGGAGTGGCAATGGGTAGTATGTACTCATCCACAAAATGAATATATTGTGTCGCTGCTAAAATATAAACATTGGTGGGCAACATTTTTGAGTACTTGCTTGATAGCAGGCATTGCATTAACTATTTTGGATGCGTTATTTTAACTTTCAGATTGTCCTATGTGAAGGGCACTTCTTGTTTATTGGTGAATAAATGGAGGCTTAGAAAAAGTCTGTGGAATGGCAATCAATATATAGCTAGTAAGTAAGTGAGTCAGACTTTGAACCCAAGATATCTGACTGTAAAATCTTTCTGTTTCACTGCATCTTGTTTTTACATGTTATGCGTTTTATTGAGGATCTAGGAAGTTCAAAGGGACAGAAAACCAAGTTTTAGTCCCAAGGTTCTCGTAAGTCACATGCAATAAGAGTACTTGGCATGAGACACTGTTGGTCAAGACATGTAACGCTGATGCCCAGTGAATAAAATGGTCACATACACCCAACCTATCTGTGGCTGAGCACTGGAAATGGGAGCAGGATTGGGCTGAGAAGGAGATCAGTTGGTTCCTTTTAGCACATCATTGCTTCCCATGTCTGTGTTCAACAGAGAACCTTGAGCACATGTCTAAAGCATCACTTCCTGGGTGAGAACATCTTGTCCCATCTTTTTGATGCTGATATTATCTGTCACGTCTTTTTGGCAAATTAAGTGAGTTGCTTCTAAGAAGAATTCTAGAGTGTTCATTTCAAAAACAAAAGGAATATATCCCAGCTTCACTATTCTTGAGCTGGACATTCCTGAAGCATCTTTATTCCATGTGCCAGAGCATTCACATGCAGAAGTGGATCATTGTTTGATGTAAAGAGACTCAAAGTGCAACTAGAGACACATCTAGGGCTGCCATCAATCATGGAGTGGGTGGCAAGGCAATCAGCTCCCTGGATACACTTTGTGAACTGCCCATTTCTATTCTGCAGCTCTGGTGAGTTGGGTAGAAGCTGCCACATGGCATCCAAAAGCTGATTTGCTACATTCCTTTGGATGGACAGTCCCTGATACTTCTTCCTTTCAGTGTGGTTTAGGGAATCAAAACCAGTCTTATCATTTCAGACTGTAATATCCCCGTATTTTATAAGCCCTAAGAAAGAAACAAGGCCAATGGATTCTACTCATCTTTAACATAACCCTATACTAGGAAGAAAAGAGAAATCTATTTTGTTGTGGTTGGATTTGGAATTTACAGATGTGCATCTAACAGTGGAATAAAAAGAGGTATTTTCATGGCTGTGTTTTTCTGGTGAACAAAAGCACCATGGTCTTGGGGTCCAGCACAGGGGAGAGACAGACCTTCTCTGGAGAGAGACCTTTGGACATTCACACTAGTTTGTCAGTTGCAGATGCTAATGGAACCAGGCTTGGTGACTGAAGGGGAAAATGGAATATGAAAGCAAAATGAAAGCAGCCTATGAAACAAGCATGTCATTTCTAAATGAAGGTTTCATGCAAAGGAATTGAGTCTTTTCACTGCTGAAAATGGAATCTTTAAATAAGATAAAATAAAAGGAATGTGTTGGCTTGTTGCAGATTCTGTAATGAAATACAGTTTTCCTAATACCGTGTGACCTGCATTTCTCCCTGCTTTATGGGTGCTATTCCTTGACGTACAAACCCATATTTTCTCAAGTCAGCATTTGATGATGGATGTCAAAATACAGGCCATGTATTATGCATATAGCATTACCGATTTAAGGTGTTTACTTGTCATGTTGAAGAAACTCAAAAACGTCACATCCACTGAATCTGCACAGCTGTCACTTGTGGTTTTTCATGCTTTTGAATGAAACTTCTGATGAAAACAGTTTAGTTCTCTCCCCCACACACTATTCTGCAGGAAAACAGCTACCATTGAAAATGCTGTTCTTGGTTTTGCAGTTGGCTGAAAAACATATGCCCCTAAGTTTAGGAAGATGGGCACTTCAGTGTCACTCAAAATGACTCTGTGTGTTTATAGTACATTAACATAGAGGATAAAATTGAGCACAATCAGGGAAGAGACCATCAGTAAAACTTGATTTCTTTTTGAGTGTGTGGCACTTAATCTGAAAATTTATACACTGGAGAGAAGAAAATAAGAAAACTGTTTTATAAGTTTCCGACATTTCATGCAGTATGTGCCTCCGAAACAACAGGTAATTATTGAGCACCTGTCATTTCATTCCTGATTCACACATCGCCCAAATGCTAGCCTCAGCCCAATCTTGTCATATTCCTGGGGAGTGAGTCAAGAATCTGGTCAAAAAATGTATTTGGAGTTTTGTCCTGGGGAGCTTGGCAAGTGGTTTTTTACCTGCCAGTCCATAATTCATTGGTAAATTCACAGAGCAACCCAGTAGGGCAAAGAAGAGAAACCAGTAAATGCAAAAACCTGCCTGTCCTCTCAGATGAGGAGCACATTTGGTCTTGTAGCTTCCTTAGAACTAATGGTATCATTTTTCGATAGGCTTCTCTTGGAAAAATTAATTTCATCAAATGAAAGTGGGCAGCAAATACATGTCTTGCATCCATGTATTTGTATGCCTTATAGGGACCATCACACAGCTTGATCACACATACATGACATTGTTGGTCCAAGCACATCTTGATTGTGAACTCAGAACTTGGACTTGAGACCTAAAGAAACCAAAACTGCCAATTCATAACATTGTCAGGCTGCTTCCCAATTCCTTTAGTCCTACATCAACCTTAATACCTCTGTGATGGGCACACTGAGTTCCAGGGGTCAGTTGTAAGCAGGTGACATTTTAGCTGCAGTTAGAGAAGACAAAAAACATCTACCTGTTGATATGCATGCATTCATACACATTATCCTGTGTGTGTGTGTGTGTGTGTGTGTGTGTGTGTGTGTGTAATACAACACAGAGTAATAAATCCTGGGGTAGGAGGGTTCCGGAATGGTTCTCCAAGGAACCCAGGGAAAGTTCTTTCTGTCATCCAGTTCAGGCAATAGTAAAAAGTTAGTTTGGTGTCACTACAAATGGCAAGATGGCTACACAGTCCCAAGTAATGCAGACACATAATATGATGTCCAGTAGATTAAGTGAGAATCTCTTCCTGTGTTTCTTTCGAGGAATAGTTAAATACTTTCTGAAAATTCTCAAATACATTTCTACTCACATGCCATTGGCTAGAACTCTTGTCTAAACTCAAACCTAAATCACCCACTTCCAAAATGTCAGTAACTGATTTGTTTACGATATCATTCAGGATACATTTGGTAATATGCTAGTAATAAAAACCAACCAAATATATTTCAGTGGCTTAGAGCAACAAACCTTTATTTTTCCTTCGTGCAGAATATTTCATAGGTCTAGGCAGCTGGCCAGGACTGCTGTCTAGCCCTTATACCCGTGGTAATCTGCATTCCCATAGTTTCCATGGCCTGGGAAGAGTGGGGCAATAAGTCTAATGCTTATACCACTGTATTCACTTTTTGCAGCCCAGAGCATTCACAGGTCATGCAGTCATAGCTGACTCCCAGGCCCCACACAAGCGGAAGGAGTATAAATGGAAGGAAGAGGGAAGTGAAATCTGAAAACAAGATGAACCATTGGTGTTGTCTGGACTTTTCAGGCAGCTGTCAAAGTGAGCTGGAATGGTTTACAATGGTTTCCTACTGTGTTCTAAGAAGGCGGCTCAGCAGCGCGTGTTCTGGCGTGATCGTCTTTGACCTTTTAGTTGCGCTTGTGGGCATGGAGACATGTGCCATTCTCTCAGTGCTTCCAGATTTTCTGCTTCTCTGATTTTTATTCCTATTTTCTTTTCTTCCCACTAGGATTCACGCCTCCAGGAATGGACAGATCCTCTCCAGATAACAGCCCAGTGCATGGGATGTTACGCCAGCCATCCATCACAACCGGGGTCAACATCCCTATCATCACAGAACTAGGTAGGGGTGAAGTTCAGCTCCGCGGGGATTTTTCTGTTTTCTGTCCTTTCTGCCAGCCATTCAGGATTTGAGAAGGTCAGCCTTGTTTCTTAGCTCTCAGCTTTGTGGGTTTGTTTTAGGGAAGGTTGGTGAGAGGTCTGGGCAGAGATATGGCAGATTATCTACAGGAATACTGATCTATTTTCCCTCTGAGTTGAATAGACAGTTTCCTTCATGCTGGCCACTGTTTTCAAAGAAGCATGAGATAATGGCCTTAAGATGGGATGTGAATTCAGGGAGGGGGAAGACAGGAGGAAAGACTTGGTCCGTGAAGTCTTTCTGGTGATATTGACTGCCAATACCTCTTTTGAGCATTGTGTCTGGATAGATATGATGTGCTGAGTCCTCTGTTAATACACAGACCTTAGGTCTAAGCCAAACGTATTTTGAGAAATGAGTAGAAGCATTGAGTTACTGTGTGATAATTCTGCATTTGGTTCATCCTAGTTGAACTCTCAGTCAAAGGCCATGTGCAACGCATGGACTTTCTGGTCCAAAACAATGAGGAGATTTCGAGGGTCACGATCAGTGACTGATGGAATCCCCGACTTCTAACCTGGCTAAGACATTTGCTACTATTGTTTGTGAGTTTGCCTAGCTGCTCAATTGGCTCTACCCACCAATCCACTCACCCCAAGGCGAATGCCAACAGTCTGTGACCCTGGGGTCCCTTTACTTGAGAATGTTTCCTTTGCTACTCCCTCACTTCTTTCTTTTTCTGTACTTTCCTCCACTCCCTTTCCCCAACCCTTAAATGCTGTATCCTATTAGCTAAACCGGGCAAGTTGCCTTTGGTATCAGTCAATCAGGAAAAAAACAGTGGGACGCACATTCTAATGATAACTGAACTGGGTAAGAAGCACTGTTTTCCTCAACATCGGCATCTCCTTTTGTTCTGTTCTCAGTGTTTCCAACTCTCATCAGCTTGTTTTTTTGTTTTTCGTGGGTTTTTTTTTTTTTCTTCTCACCAGCTGTAACAGAAAGGCTACCCCATGGCACTGCTTTGAATGTGTTTTATTTGTGGCTCTGGTTGGAATCGACTGTCTTGTTCTGGCCTTTCTTAATGATTTTTTTCCCCACACAGCATCAGTAAACCTTTGATCACACCCATCTGACCTGGCAGTTGTTTCCAAAGCATCTTTGCACTAATTCATTTTCTATGGCCCAAGCTTTTTTTTCTTTTCTTTTCTATGCTTACCCCGCTCTCCTGCCTTCTCCCTCGTATTCCTCTTCCAACACACTGTCAGTTTGACTGACGTGTCTTCACAGCTCTCAAAGGAAGTCAGAGGAGAAACATAAAATTTTTAAGATAAGAAATCTAAGACTGTGCCTTCCCTCCAGCTGTTTATTTTCCTTTATTCTGACTTTATTTGCCTTTTTTCCCCCTACTAGGTCCTTTCTCAGAAGCTCTGTTTCTGAAGCCATAAAAGCAGTCAGTGGGTCCTAAGGGACACTCTTTTACTAAAGCCAGCTTTCAAGATGAGCCTCGTAGGCCGAGAGGTGCATCCCTGTGGTCCGAGCCCTCTTCCCTTATCCAGGGCCCTCCCTGGGCATGTCTCAGTGGATTCATCTAGAAGATGAAGGCTTCCACTCATGACTGCACTTGTCAGGCCCACCTGCAGTTGTCCATGACTTGGGGAATAACTCCATTAAGGGCTCCCGGCGGCAGGGTCTCAGAACTGGTGCTTGATCCAGGTAGAGGCTTGGCTGGGCAACAGTTAGAGGAGCAAGAAGTTTCTGCTTCCAGTGGCTCACCAATGAAATGAGCACTCTACTTTCTTGGCCCTCGCGTATGTTTTAAGTAAAATGAGGCTTTTACTCCCATCATCTTGCTTGGGAAGTGTCTGGAAGATAGAAGTACTTTGTCTACCCTTCAGCAACAGCAATGCAATATGGTGAATGTCGCTATTGATCATGACCGGCTCTCTTGGCGGAGGGTCACACTATTTTCTGTTTTGGGTTGTAATGGAGGTGTGTTTTTCCCTCTTTGGCATAACTGGCTACAAGCTAGGATTCTGGAACATTTTTCCTAAAGCTGCAGGGATGGAAGAGGCCTGGATGACTTGGTTGGAAAATTCATCCAAACCTACGTCCATATTAGAAACCTACAGTAGCAGCACTTGGAATTGCTGTGTAGAGTTCACTGCTGCTGACTATCTAGGATGGTTTGATTTAGGATTAGTGGAAAAGCAGAGAAAAGACAGGGTGCTCTGTGCTTGGCATGATATTTGGGTAGTTGATTAGTGTAATGGACTCTCCCAAGGCCTTTACCACCCACCAGATGTCTTCCTGCATTCAGAGAACCTTCTGTGTACAACCAGCACTCTAACCCCATGCCTAAGACCTATTTCTCTGGTAGTCATACCACTGGCATCTGACATCTTGATTTCCCACATGCTCCACAAATATTTCCCATTTACCTACATGTTTTAAAGAAGTGTTATAAAACCCTAGGCTAGTAAAAATGCATTCCAAAAGATGCAGATGATGCTAAGCCTGAAAACATTCTTAAATTGTTTGGCATTTCCAGTTTCCTTTTCTACTTGGAGAATGCCAATTGATGTGAGCCTGGTGAAAGCTCCTAAAAGCTTCACTAGAAAGAATTTTGTGTAAAAGCATTTAATCTATCCCTCAACCATATTGGACCGCATGAGTTTAGGTGATGTTTTAATTGCCTCTTGGCATCCACAGTTTACTATCCTGCAAAATAGACTTTTGCATACCTTTGATGATTCCCCTTCTGGGAATGAGTACCCCAGAATAATGGGATTCTCTGTGAACTCTGGCTAGTGTCTTGGAGTTCTTAGCCAGTGACCCTAAGTGCAATCTCCTGGAAAATCTGTGGTCCTTCCTCCCAACTTGGAGCCGCTTCACCTCCATGGGTAAGACCAAGCCTTCCCTATCTTACAGAATGATAACAGAGAACTCCTCCTGGAAAATTGGTGTGCACACCTGTAGTAGCACTTAAAAGTAACTAAAGCCACACTCTGCACAAGTGGTCTCCAGTTGGCATTTTCTGCATCACAACATGCCTGTGGATTATTGGAAGACAAAATAACAAAAACATAACAGATATTTTGTGATTCTAGCATCAAGTAACAGTCAGTACAAAAAAAAGAAACAGTTCAGCATGACCCACCTACCGTGTGGGACATTATATTATTGATGGCCAAAATAACATACAAAACTAGAAGTGTAATATACAAGCAGCCCAGCTGGTTGCAGTTTGTGTTTGTCTTTTTTGAACCTGGCTTGGATAGTTGACTGCTTGTGATTGGCTGGGAGTCGGTTCCTTGTTACAACAACAAGTTACAGACAGTTTATACATCGAGTTAGATTACAGTTCACTATATAAGATGAGACCTTCAAGCCAATCTCAAAATATGTATGGAGGCAGACTTAGGTAGGTCAAGGGAGCTGAGGAAAAGCTACCAGTTGAAGGATCCATGAGGTAATAAGTCGAGTTTCTAGGAGACAGAAGACAGTTAGGCATGTTCCTCATGGGGTGAGTGTATGGCTTTTTAATGTCAGCAGGGCGATCGCGATAGCTGATACTATCTACATGGTGCACAGTTTGGTCTAAGAGCTGGACCAAGCTCATCAAGCACCTGCTAACAGCCTCCCCTGTGAGCGCTGCTCTGATTTTCCCGTTCTGCAGAGAAAAGCTAAGGTACTGTGAATGATGAAGTGTTTTGCCTGAGGAAGTTGGTGGCTGAGCCCAGGCTGAAAGTTGCTTTGTTAGATGGTAGAATTTCAACTTTCATCCCCTCTGCCTACATGCAGTTCATAGGCTGGTTAGACAGTGGGTACCCAGACCCTGGAAATGTAGAGCAAAGAATGTTTTTTTCTCCCACCATTAGAATATTTCTCTGGGGAAACAAGATGGTATCAGTTAAAAGTAATTCCTTGCCTAGCCTTTTATGCCATTATCATCTATTCTGCCTCATGCAATAAACAAACAAAAGTTTTTTAAGAAAGAGAAGTTATCAAGAAAGTTACTTTGGAAAATTAAAACAATAACTCCAGGAAGGAGAATTAGCTGCTGATGCATTTTGAAAGGAATCAGAGGGGGGAGTATCATCTGTTCTCTTCCTGAAAGCGCTATCATTATTTCAGGAATCATAGGAGCCCTCACCCTTCCCACCTCCCCACCATCCCCCCTATTACTTGCTCTGCAAAACTGATCATTTCAGAAGCCAAGATGGGAGGGGAAATTAATTTGTCATTTAATTTTTAATAAGTTAAAGACGTCTGAGTGACACAACTAATCAATCCGCACATGGTGCGGGAGACATCCTGGAGGAATCCTCAGACGGAAATGAAGTGCAGCATCCGATGCTTCATGTGCTTGAGCAGGGAGCACATGAGCTACTGAGCTGTTCAGAAGGGGAAAGGGAGAACGTGGGTGCAGCCTGGCAGCTCAGAATTTAGAGCAAGTCATTGCAGCAAGCAGCAGGAGATAGCTGGAGACCCATCCCGCCTGGGAATGGTGGTGTAGTCAATAGGGCCCGGATTCATGGCCTGGGATGGCTGGTATTACCCTGACCAATCCCCAGGACTGGCAGTGTGGGTCCCGCTTGCCATTTGCCTTTGCTCTGCCTCTGGTTCATTGCTGTTGACTCTTAATTAGTGGCTTTCTTTCCTCTGTGGCTAAACCCATACCCGCGCATGGCTACTACTCATCATTGAAATATATCCACCTCTCAAAAGACTTGGCTACCAAAAAAATGCCCCAGGGTATTTTTTTGGCTGTGATTCTCAACCTCTGCCTGGGGACTGGCCAGTGCTACCCACCAGTCCTCTGGCAGCTGCCATGGAGTGAGCCCAACCAAACTCATTGCTCTCCAGGTCTCAGGAGCTAAAACAATCCACACAGGAGCAGTACGTTGAGCCCCACTGCCTCTACCGCAAAGACCCATCCACAGCTTCCCCCGCCCCATGCTTATTTCCTTTGCAGTGGCCTCACTCTTTATAAACCAGTAGCCTGGTCTCACCAACTTTGCTGCCCAGGTGGTCATCTTGAGAACTCATTCTCCCTCTCATGCTTTTTCTAGTGAACGACACTAATGTTCAGTTTTTGGACCAAGACGATGATGACGACCCCGACACAGAACTGTACCTCACACAGCCCTTTGCCTGTGGGACAGCCTTTGCCGTCAGTGTCCTGGACTCGCTCATGAGTGCGGTGAGTTGCTCTGCTCCGTTCTCCCTGCTCAGTGGGTGCAGGATGTGGCCGAGGAGCCCTTCCAATGTTAGAAACCCTGGACTGGAGATTGAGCTTCTGTGGAAGACAAAAGTTCTTAAAGATCACAATCTAGGAAGGGATATTTACATTAACCAGAGTCTCACACAAGTCAGCCTTTGATTATAAACACTTCCAAGTGCAAGGATGGCCAGAAGGAGTTGGGTTAGCACTTGACCTAGTCTTGGTGGATCAGAGAAAGAGTCAAACACAGTTGGAGAGGTTCATGGAAAACGTAACTAAAAGATGGATTTATTTTTATGCAGAATAGTTACAGAAGTTCCTGAAAAGTTAGCAGAAAAGTGTATTTCTGAAAAAGCTATGCACGAGCTTCAAAAATGTTTGAAATTAAACTGAATTTTAATTCCGTGCTTTCACAAATTTCTTGAAATACCCTTGCATATATTATGTTGGAGTCAAAAAGAGGAGAGATTTTTGGTGGGGAAGAATATTGGAGGAGAAGGTGAAACAATGCAAAGGCTTCATAGTGAGAGGAATGTGGAGCTTTCAACTGGGCAATGAAACTTGGGGACTGGATGCTAATGTGAATGAATCTGGGCTAGTCAGGCAAGATGGAACCCAAGGGACCTCAAAAGCTGTTTCCGTGGTCTTTTTCTTAGGAGCAGTGAGGAGGCATTGAAATGTTGAGTTGGAAGGTTTCTGATCAGGTTCTTGTTTTAAGGGGATTGCCTTGGCTGCAGTGTGTGGTGTGGCTCAGAGCGGCAAGGTGACAGCAGGACATCTGGGTTATGTGTCTGCTATAGCAGGGACTAAGTGAACCAGCTGGAGCTGGAGGGGTGGCTGGATGTGAGAGGTATTTGTCTGTAGAATTAATAGGAATCAGGAATTAATAGAACATGAGCAGCAGGTTGGAGCAATGTTTCCAAGAAATCATTGAGACAGAAGCAGTTGGGTGAGGGCCAGGTAGGAACACGAGGCCTGGATGTTTCCATGCTGCCGAGATGGTTGAAGTGAAGGGAGAGAAGACTGGGCTGGCCGAGGGCACCAAAGCTGCTTTGGTTTCTTGTATGGTTTGATGTGTGCCAAGCAATCAAGGCATCTATTTCCTCGTTTTTGAAGCAAATAACAATTAAAAAAGCAGCTCACAGCTTAATGGAGCCATCTTTCACAGCCAAAGACAAAGGCAATATTTGGAATGGTTCATATACTCTGGCTATTATGAAGTGTTCCTATTGAGTGTCTGGATTTACTGCATAGCAAAACTTCTTTATTTCGGAGTTGTCAAACTAACAATTCATACAAGTGCCCATATCGGTTAGACATATCTGACGTTTTTAGAATAAAAAATATTAAGAAGAATGAGAGAGAGAGCACGCACTTTATTGAGCGTATTAAAACCATAAGTGTAATTTGGAGTTTTTATGCACATATATCTCTTAGCAATTTTTGGCTCTTGAAAGTGTTAAACAACTGATATACTAATTATGCATTATTTTCATCTGTTCATTAAAGCTAATCCCAGAAGGACCTCTGTTTGTGAAGAGGAAAAAAAGTAAAGCTTTTTACAGCTAATTTAGATTATTCCATATTCCTGAATATGGTCCAGCTCAAGCGTATCTTAGTGAAAAATCACAATTGTAGGTTTTAAAAGATAATTATGCAACACCTTTCAGAAGTTGAGGTTGATGGAGCCTAGAACCATCCCACCGCCAACGAAGTCAACAAGAAGATAAAGTGGCTCTCAGAGAAGGGCACTCCTTGCTTTCGGGGTTCTGTAACCCTTCTGATGCCTCAAGAGCCTAGGTTAACTTTTGCACTGGCTAGTTGTTTTGGAATCAGTTTGGGCAAACTCCTCTGCCACGCAAGAAGGAATGATGGAAGTGATGGGATGTTCTCGTTGGATTTCCAGATTTGCTATCATAGGCCTGCCTTATTCTCTCCAAATCTAGTTTCCAATGCATGTCTTTGGAAATTTTATTTTAATCATGATCTTAAGTAGAGAGAACCAGAAACCTGTTTTCATGAAAAGATGATTTGCCTGTTTTATGATAGGTTATCATATTTTCTTTTTTATTAACTATGAAGTGTTTTTGTTAAAATTATTAAAAATTTGACTTGTTATGTTTATGCCAAGCAGGACCAGCTACATAAGGCTACTTTTTTCATAAATTATTAAGAATTTCTAAAAAGATAATAGCAGAGTGTTAAACCAGGCTGTGAACCCCTTGAGCAAAGACCCTGGACAACCACCTGCATGGAACACCCCACCCATGAAGCCAGCCCTGGTGCAGGGATTACAACTGGTTTAAACATTGGAGAGCTTCACCTCTATATAACCCAAAGGTTCCATGTGGGGGGGAAGGGCATGAAGTAGAGGTAGGGCACATCTGGATTTGAGTTGCACACTCATCAATGTATAGCATCACTGGGGAATCAATTCTCAGAAACACAAGTAAGAAATCAGAGTGAATTAGGTGAACATTTTTTTAAAAGGATATTCATATTTCCTTGAGATGTCAACTAAAATGTTTGGGAGAAAATGGCTAAGGCATGTATGGATGTGGTAATCTGAGAACACATTTCTTTCACATTCTTGCTTGTGGCAAAAGGAGATTCTGACATCAGCATGATCTATGGAGGACCAAGAGTTGCATAAGGCAACCTAGCTACATTATCTGATCTTGGGGACAACTACATGAATAAGCCTTGTCTAAGCATTGAAGCAAGATGCATTCTACTCACCTATTGATTATGGCTTTCAAATAATTGATCAACATGTCTATCAGACTATTTCCGACAGAGTTTCCCTTGTCTAGGCTGACCAAGTTCTCTAAGTGGGATCTTGAGTTGAGTCTTTTAATCGAGAAGGTCCACACCTCTGCTTCGTAGCTTACCTGTGATGTCTGCATTTCACCCTAACTCTCCGGGATGAAACAGTAGATTCATCACGTTCCAAGGCAGTCACCAGAAAGAACTAAGAGAGTTGGCAGGAATATTAATTGTGGAGATGAGGCGCCTCCTCACAGCAGGAGCCGGAGGGAAGCCTCCATCTACATTTTCATCTCAGGCATCATCTCACAGGTAACACCACAAGACCCGCTCGCAAATCTCTTTAGATGCTGCCAATCTTTTGCTAGCTCTCCTCCCAGAAGTGCCGTTGAATCATGTGTCTAAGCATTCCCTGAACACTGTCCTCGTAACTCAACTCCTGCTGCTTATGACTTCACTTGTGAAAAGAAGAATGTTTTGGTTCATCACAGGTGTTCCGGAGACAGGCGGGGATGTTACAGACAGGGCCTTGTGGCTTTCTCTGCCATCAGCAGAAGCAGCCTGTGAGGAGATGGAATAATGGTGATTCTGAGTCAATTTCTCTAAGAAGATAACAACTTAGACATGTATTTTTAGAATGGTACCAGTCTGCTGCGTGTGCATGCGCGCGCACACACACACAAGGTAGTATGCTATTAGGACTGACGCTAGCATATGCACATTAAGAGTTCTTTCCCTTTCAACCATCCTTTTCTACTAACCCCAAGCTCAATTTCCAATAGCACCTTGGAGAAGCTAAGAAATAGACTCAATGGCCAGGCTGTTGGCATGCAGTGACCTTCACTTGTCCTGTAATGTGACTTGCTTGTGCACATGGGGTCTGTTTCCCTTGTGCCTTCGGCCTTTCCTGGAGATCTGCCACACTGAACCAGCAGTTAGGAAGGAGCAAGGATGGGACACTTCCTTCTGGGGAGAAGAAAGGGCATCGTGTTGTGTTAATGAATTCCAGTGAATGCAAGTCACCTTGTCTGTTTTGTTTTTTCCTTATGAAATAAGACATAAACTTTCAGGTTTGCAAGGTCACCTAATCTAGACATATAAAGAAAAAGCATACCCTTACAGTATGAAGAGAAAAGGAAAGAAAAGGGAGAAGCAGAGACCCAGTTTGTTAGCAGTGCATGATACGCCTGAGAAGTACTAGGGGCACAGCACACTCTGCCCTGAGACACCTCTACCCGCTGCCCAGCCCCTAGGGGCACAGCACACTCTGCCCTGAGACACCTCTGCCCGCTGCCCAGCCCCTAGGGGCACAGCACACTCTGCCCTGGACCAGAGGGGCACAGCACACTCTCCCCTGAGACACCTCTACCCGCTGCCCAGCCCCTAGGGGCACAGCACACTCTGCCCTGAGACACCTCTGCCCGCTGCCCAGCCCCTAGGGGCACAGCACACTCTGCCCTGGACCAGAGGGGCACAGCACACTCTCCCATCAGACACCTCTACCCACTGCCCAGCCCCTAGGATTAGAGGGGCACTTTAGTGTGAGTCTATGGTGCCAACGATGTCTTCGGTTTCCCATTGTAACTCAGTGCACATGGCAGGAGTTTGCATATCCAGGGCCTTTAAATTAGGACTTCACACCTTTGGGTCATGGTTCACTAGCAGCCTTTCCCCTGTCTGGGATTTAGTTGAATCTAAATGTTAAATGGGGATGATATTAACAATCATGTACAACTTCAAGGTAATTGTTAATAAGCCATGGTGTATGAAAACATTTCACAGAACAGGCAGATACTTCTTAAGACCACATGTATTTACCAAAAAGAGAGAGAGACAGACATGACTTATGTGAAGGGGGTCTTTGAAAATTATTAAAAATGCATATTATGAAAGATATATGTATTGTTCTCTCTTCTCTCTACGCATGTGTACCTTAGAGTGATTAGTTGGGGGATCTATGTGAGTGGATGCATCTAGGCCATCCCTGAGAAATGTTGCTGTCCTTATCTCTTACATCAGAGAGCTGACCTCTGCCTGCTAGCAATAACTGAAGTTAGTAAGGCTGGAAAATGAGTCCCCTTGACTTAACGTCACGATTTCACCGTACTTTCATCAAGGACCCAGACCCTGTAGTGGTGTCATGGGTACCCCTGTGCTCTCCCTTGGTCCGTGTGCATTCAGTGATGTCAGCAAAGGCCTACCCTCTGGTCCTA